AAAAATATTTTTTGCAGCAGGGATCAAACTCAGGTCCTTGCCCTTGCAAGACAGGCAGCGGACTGAGCTAAATCCCCAGCCCTAGGCAAAAATATTATAGGCAGTCAGATATAGACTAGGCCCTTGAGAGAGTCAGGACAAAGGTAAAAACACATTACAACTGTGGCTGGAGGCACATCTGTTGGAGGCCAGGCCTCAAGAAGAAGACAAAGTGACCAGGCCTAAAATAAGTAGTAACACCTGGTCTAATGAAGGCTGAATAGATATCAGTTACCTCAGTGAGTTACCAAGACCCTTGGACTCACCCCTTCCTGAAAACGTTCTTTGTTCCTTCCATGTACACTTGCTACATGGTTTGCCTCCCTATTAGATCAGTGTTACCTAAGCAACTGTACTTATAATCTTATTGGTTGATCATAGCTGTAATCCACATTGTACCCACTGTGCTCTAGAAAACTTCCTGTGAGAAGTGGGGTTCCCCTCCTGTCTCTCAAGAGTTGTACCTTACCCCTCAATAAATATTTTCTGCTCTTTTTTTTTGGTACCCAGGGGTCAAATTCAGGACCTTGTGCTTGCGAAGCAGGTGGCAGAACCACTGAGCTAAATCCCCAACCCCAATATTTTCTTCTCTTAACCTCCGTTGTTCTTTAGAATTCATTCTTTGATTTGGGGAAACAAGAACTCAGCATGTCAGACATCTAGCAGTTTTGGAGTTATGCTATTTCCCCTTTACCATTTATAGGTCCTATATCATTTTCTGTATCACCGGCACCACTGTAAACAGCAAGATGGTGATTTGAGGCAAATAGACCCCTGCATCTCAGAGCTAGATTTAAATGAGTCCTTTCTCCTTTTAAACCAAATATATAGCCTCCTTTGATTTGGTCAGCAGCAAGCAGATGAGCCTGAGTATATGAGCCTAAGCATCCAGTAACAGAAAGAACCATTAAGAAAAAGGCTCTTAGAAGTATGTGCACCCATATTTATAGCAGCACAGTTTGTAATAGCTAAAACTTGGAAACAACCTATTTGCCCATCCGTTGGAAACTGGATAAAGAAGTTGTGGTTTTTCTATAAAATGGAATATTACTCAGCCATAAAGAGCGAGAGAATAGATTCATTCATAGGAAAATGGATACATATTGAATATATACTCCTAAGTGAAATAAATAAGTCCCACATGTGTAAATACCGAATAGTTTCCCTGGTGTGAATATTCTGCAACAATGCATAAGATTCTAATAAGATTACTGACATTTAGCAATTTGAAGAAAAGAGCTAAAGGTGTAGGGAAGGTGATACGTAGGGGAAGAACAAAAAGGGAAAAGAAAAAAATGTGAGAGAATGAAAAGATGAAAATAAAGTGTTTGTAGATGGGGAGGGGAGGAGGGGGTGAAGGGAGGGCAGAGGTAAGGGGAAAAAATGAGAATCAAGTCTTGCCATGTAAAGGTACATGATCCCAACAATGAATGTAACTGTACTGTATCCCTAAATGTACCAATAAACTCAATAAAATTAAAAAAAAAAAAAAAGAAAAAGGCTCTTGCAGGCTCTTCCTCAGGGATAGATGCAATGTGGTCAGTATAAGAACCACAATATAGGGGCAGAATGTGGTAATATCTAAGAATTATCACCCAAAAGAGGGCACTCTGTCCTGGGGCCTTACCAATGCCACTGTTAAAACTGCAGCTGAGCCCTCGAGTTGCTTCTGACCTGAGTGAATCAGAAGACATAATGGTTATAGCCACAGTATGCTAGCTCTGAACTAAAGTCTGGGAAACCGCGTGACTGCAGAAGAAATGGGAAGGGAAGATGCACGTGAAGAGCTGTTGAAGTGGATGTATTTAACACCCTTCTGGCTTCTACCACCAGATTCTCCACCTTCTACTAAAGGGTGTAGCCCACTAGGGCCGCGAGCTGCTTTTGCTCTCACACTTCCTTCTTGTAAAGCTTAAAAGAAGGGTTTGTAGCAGACATTAGTAGAACCCACTCACAGTAAGCACTCTCTACGAACAAAGAAGATACAGTGTGGGCGATGCCAAGGCACTTCAGAGTGCAAGTGGTGGAAAGGCTGGTAAGGCACGGGCTTCTCCTTTAGGGGATATAAAAATTACCACTTAAAACAACTAGAAAACAATGTAAACCGACTCAGTCTCTAAAGAAGCCCAAAAGGCTGCAAGAACTGACATGCAAGAGACTATTTCAAGCTGGGAAGGAAAGGGGACTCGATTGGTATGAAGGTATAAAGTGCTGACAGGCCAGCGAAATGGCAAAATGTCTAAAATACATCAGAATGTGGGGTGTGTAAATGAACACTGTGGGAGAAAGCCTATATTAGAGGGCAAGCTTTAAACATTTAGTTTCTTGCCACTAGCTGCAAGGAGCCATTATGGATTTTGTGTACAGAAATGGCATGATTAGAGCTGGACTTTGGTCAGTTCATATATTACTTTTAGCCTATGGTAAGTATCCTCACACCCGCTTTTCTTTTCTTCTTTTTTTCTTTCTTTATTTTTGGTACCAGGGATCAAACTTGGGTCTTTGTGCTTGTGAGGCAGGTGGTGGAACCACTGAGCTCCATCCCTAGCCCTCACACCCCATTTTCTGAGACCACTGGAAAGCAATTTTTCTTCTTACTTCTAAACATCCTCCTTTTTGTCCATGATTTCATTCTTTGACTTAGTGAGACACTAAGCTGAATTTGTATGGTGATAGATGTTTCATAAGTTTTTTTTTTTTTTAAAGTCTTTATGCTAGATGACATTCTGAGATACTTGTGAGATAAACGATCTGATGACTGGCATTTCTTTGTAATAATAAAAGTTTAGGGAAAGAAGAAGTGGAGGGTGGTGGTGTCCAGGGGACGGAGGAGTATGGGAGGGAATGGAAGAATCATGGCTGGTTATGGGCTGATCCGATTGCTGAAGCAGCATGATGACTACAAAGACATTTATTGTGTGATTCAATTGACTTTTGCATATGTTTGAAAATTCCCATAATAAAATGTTTTAAAAAGGAAGAAATAGGGTACTGGCATATATTTCACATGATTGTTATAAGTATTCCATGAGATATATGGAAAAGTACAACAGTGTCTGCTATATAATATGATTTTTGAAAATATTTTCTCTTTTCTATCTCTTTCTAAATATAGCCTCTCCCTCTCTTTTTTCTCTTGGGAGGAGACATCCAAAAATAGTCTTTATGACATTCTTCTACAAAGGTTAAATTGGCTTTATAGGGTTTGTGAAAGACTCAAATCCTCTTTACAGGAAAATCAAAGGCTGGTAACTTTAGATTATCTGCAGGACTTTGGAACTCTAAGTGTTAGACTTTAGTACTAGGGAGGTGAAATCACTTTTTTTTTTTTTTTGTCTTTTGATATAGAGTCTCACTATGTAGTTCAGGCTATCCTTGAGCTCCCAGTGATCCTCTTTTCTCAGCCACCCAACAGCTGGAATTATAGCCATCCACCACACCACATCCAGCTGGAAAATCATCTCTTAAACAATAACAAATATAAGATGGAAAATCAACTACTCTGGGGAGAGCATAATGCTACCCAAGCAGTGACAAGTCTTAAGATATGGCTCTTAGCCCCTGTAAGGGATCAAGGGAGCCTTATTGCAGCTGTTGGTCACCAAAGAAGAATTTTTTAAAAAGACCAAATAACAGGGCTAGGGTTTTAACTCAGTGATTCCACTGCCTGCCTTGCAAGCACAAGGTCCCAAGTTCAATGCCTGGTACAAAAACAAACAAACAAACAAAACCCCAAACCCAAAAAACCAGTTGCCAATCCTACTCATTTCTCTAAAAACCTTTCCCCTGTAAAAAGAAAACTTACCTGAGAGGGAGTTTCTATTCCTTGAAATTTAGTGCTGATGGTTTTATCTGTTCGTCGTTCCCCAAAATAATAAGTGCTCTCCTATAGAAAAGGGAATATTACACGCTGCACTATTCCCTCTCCTACATTATGCATCATTAAAATTTATACAGCACATTATTTCTTTAAGCCAGCAACATTTGGGTAGAAGATAACCAAAGTAACAAAATTAATAAAGCCACATAAAAACTTCTCTAGTTCAGAATTCATAAAGACACAGAATTTTAGAGCTGGAAAGCCTTATAGTCCAACTTCTCTTCCTGCCTTCCATTTTATAGACTAGAAGACTGAGGTCAAAAGAAATCACATGAGCTGTTATGAATACAGTGCAGCAATTTAGAAACAGTACAGTACTGTGGTCCAAGTATCTACTGTCAGCCTAGAACTGTGGATCAGTGACTTTTAAACATTTTTATCTTTAAAGCAACAATCCATATTAATAAACGTATCACTAACACACACACACACACACACACACAGAACACTTATCCTTTGATACTTTCTATTCTGTACTATTCCTTTTCATTTAAAAATGCTAATCATAATCCAATAATTCAATTTTAAAACTCATTGATGATAATTCAAACTTTGAAAACACCTTGCTAAGCCGGGCATGGAGGCGCAAGCCTGTTATCCCAGCACTCGGGAGGCTGAGGCAGGAGGATCGCTGTGACTTCAAGACCAGCCTGGGCTACATAGTGAGTTTTCAGGTCAGTATCAACTACCTAGTGAGACCCTGTCTCAAAAAAAAGAAAAAGAAAACACCATGCTAAACACCATTTTTTTCTTTTCCCTTCTCCCACCTCTCTCCTTCTCCTCCCTTTTCCCTATGCCCTCAGGCATTGGCCCTGCTGACCTAATCCAAAGACCACCGACATTGTGTCATGGGGGTGTGCTATGTGGAATAAGGATAGATAGAACATCCATTTTCAAAATCTGTGTGTCTCAAATTAGAAATCAGAAAAGCAGAAGGTGGTGGGATTAGAGAGCTGGGCAAGGTGCAGAACCCTCAGCTTCTTTTCTCTAAAGTACAGGCCAAGAGATGAGAAGAGTTGTTGGGGTATGTTCTCTAAATGGTAACTTCTCGGCAAGACCATGGCAGTAAGACAACTGAGAACCCTGCTTGAAGAATTAGAAACCGCTCACCTTTTCTCCAAAGAAATATCTAGAGGTGATAGATCCCCTATACACTGACTGTGCAGAAATAACTATACACATGAGAGACTACGTTCTGAGCTGGAAAATGAATGGACTTAACAATTCTAAGGATGGTCGAGGCCCGTTGGAGAACTTACACAGTTAATCTGGATATTCTTCCTCTTTTTTGTTCTTTCTTTAAAAACAGGGTCATACTGCATGTTCCAGGCTGGTCTTGAACTCACTATGTAGCCCAGGCTGGACTTAAACACATGGTGATCCTCCTGCCTCAGTCTCCCAAATGCTGGCCTTCTAGACAAACAGCACCACACCTGGCTATTTGATATTATTCTTGCGAGGAAGAAAGAAATTGTATTACTTTCTTGGGGAGTGAGTGAAGCATCTTGATTATTGTGGTTCTTTGCAATTGTATTACTAATCTCAACCTAATTCTGCATCTTCTAGGTCCTGTTTTTATTTAAAATGCTGGTCTCAGTGGCACTGCACCTGTCTGGTAAGCACAAGGTCCCCCTGAACCAAATATATAAATAAATTTTTAAAAATAAAATGTTGTATGAATTTTTTGGCATTAATTTTTATTTTTAAAAAATACTGCTTTAAAATGTTATTTATGTTAGTTACTGAGATTTTGGGCATTTCAGTTAAACAGAAAGTATCAAAACCAGTCTTTCTAAAATCTACTTCTCTAATTTCACTTAAGCATTATGACTCAAAGAATAATCTTTTTAAAAATTAATTTTATTGGTACACTTTTGACATGCATAATAATAGTATTCGTAATAGGGAATGTGTACCTGAGCGTAATATATCTTAATTCTTTGTTCCTATTTCCCTCCCTCCCCTTCAATCCTTCTTCCCTTCCCCTTTCCATTTACAAAACTTTGTTTCTATTGTTTTCCTCCTTTTTTTTTAATCCTCATTCCCTCTTTTCCTTCCTTTCCCATGTGAACATTTTCTTTCTATTTCCCAACATCGGTCCTCCATTTCGGTCTTTATTTACCCTCAAAGAGTAATCTTTTTTTTTTTTTTTTTTTTTT